AGCACAGTCTCGCGCTATTTTTAGCGTGGGACTGACTGTTCGTCTACCGGGGACTGGGCCTGCGCCAGTCCCGTTCTAAAATTAGCACAGCCCCATGCTATTTTTAGCGTGGGACTGACTGTTCGTATGCCGGGACTGACTGTTCATATCCCTAGGTCGGGACTGCTGCTATTTTTAGCACAGACCCGGTCTAGAGTTTGACCACAGCCCCGACCTTGGGACTGCAGCACTCAGCCCCGATCACTTGGCCTCTCCATTATAAAAGAGAGGCCACGTCACCCAAGAGAGGGACAGATCAGCATACGTGGCACACGTGGCACAGATCAGGCAGTGTGAGAGAACCCTCACTTGCTGGAGCACTGCAGCCTTGGCGGAACGGCAAGGGGCGGGAGGCACGAGCCAAAGAACAACGACTTGCCAGCAGGAGCATGAGAGGAGCACGGAGCAGGATGCAAGAGAGTCGAGCAGAAGGCAAGCCAGGGAAGGGATAAGGAAAGGGAGGGGGCAAGACTGGCCCCTCACTTTCCCTTTCTCATCCTTTTTCTTCTGCACACTGTACTTGAGGGTTGTAATCGAACTGTGTGCCTGCGCACCCGCTGAGCAGTGGAAGGCACAAATGTGTAGTCCGTGTCATTCCAGAGTTCCGCGAGAACTCTCATCCCCCCAGCCTTGCAGTACTTCGACTGCGTGAAATGGCGCGCGGCCTTCGACGACCCCCCCTGAAACAAGTGGCCGCATAAGTTGCAACACAACTTTCGGTCCCCATGCATCTTGGACTGGTCCCCGACGTACTGCCCCGCGGTGACGAAGTTCCAAACCAAGTTCCCCCGTCTCAATTTCGCCATCTCCCTCTTCGACAGCGGGTTGAACTGGGCACCCCCAGACCCCCCCGCACCGCTGGTCCCTGCACACCCCGTCATCGTCCCCCCACCCGAATCCAACAAGTCGTCGCGATGACCGTCGATGTCGTCGGACCGTGCCGCACCGTCGATGCAGTCCCTGACGTCCCCGCTGCCGCCAATGCCGCGTCCCCCCGATGTCGTCAACGCCCTTGGTCCCCGCGGACCCCGACCGGTCGGCCTCACGCACAACCGCTAGCTGGAACGGCCGGTCCGGTCGCGTTCGGCCCTGTTCGGCCCTGTTCGGCCGAGTCCCGCCGCGTTCGGCCGAGTTCGGCCGTGGCCGGGCACTAAAGTGGCCGCGCGATGAAAAGGCCGCACGTGGCAATGGCGACGGCGGTCGGGCGGCCAATGGCCGATGTCGAGGCGCTGTCCCGCCTAGTCGCGCGGCGCGCGCCGCTGCCAACTGCGCACCAGGAAGAAGAAGAAGAAGAAAATCTCTCTCTCTCTCTCTCTCTCTCTCAAAGATCTCTCAACGATCTCTTTCTCTCTCTCTCTCTCTCTCTCTCTCTCTCTCTCTCTCTCTCTCTCTCTCTCTCTCTCTCTCTCTCTC